AGAGAGAGAGAGAGAGACACAGAGTGGGTGTGACCAATTAGAGCAAATGGTGTGTGGAGCAGCAAAGAGTGGGGTATGAACGGTCACGCAACCTTGCATGGTATAGGATTATAGGTCTTGGTTTGCACACACACACACACACCACACACAGCACAACACGACAGCTACACACACACGCACACACACACACAAACACTCCCCCTCACAGATACAGCTGTCAACAAGCATCAAACACTTTGCTTACAATACAGTTGCCCTAAGCGGTCACTCCCCGCTCTTGATTGGATGTGCTCTTTTCATTGTTTTCACCCCTTTCCCATGCTAACTTCTCTTTTCTCACCTCTAGGTTTTATCTCTCCACCTCTCGCTCTCCATCTCTTTCTTTGTCATTCTCACCCTTTCCCCTCCCTGTACAGAACAAGTGTCATACAGATGGCGTGATGGAAGGTTGCGTGCATGCTGACGAATATTAAACATTTAAAGTCAGCCTCATCTGCCCTCCCCCCCTTATTGTCACATCGTCAGTCATGAAACTACAGTGAAACGAAAAAAAAAGCCTCCTTTGGGGAAAAGTGCGAGAGATACTACACACTGTTTCGCATGACTTAGTTGTTACTCACTTATGAAGAGAACTGTGCGTGTATATTCAAGAGATACATTTAAGATGTAATTCATCTTATAGAGCTTGATCCCTATAAGGCCACAGAAAGGCGCTGTGCTTTTCCTTTGTTCAGGCTCTGTATAACAATACACAATGCTGTGTATAGTTCATTATATCTTTTAATAATCAGTGTCCAGAGTGTGAGTGCAAGTCTAGTTAGCAAAACAAAAGGTACTTATTCCTGTGAGAAAAAAAACACCTTCTTTACAGAAAACTTAAAGATCCCATCCAGACATGTATAAGGACATAACAGAAGTCTGCTTGGAACAATAATACAAGTATATTTTACACATTAAAATCCTTAAAAAGACATCCACTCCTTCTACCTCGTTAAAAATTCCAGAATATTCAAATTTCGTTCATTTCTTAAGTTTTCCTGTTGGACACAAGAAGTCTCCTACTTCACTGTTAAGTCAGTTCTCAGTGTTTCTTAAGTTTCTACATCACACTTGTATAAGTTCAAACTGGACCAGTATTTGTGATGTCACAGATTATGCTCGTAGGCCCCCAATCATATTTTCAGTGAGTTCAGAGAAACTTTCCACTTTCAGTAGATTCATGTGAAAACATTTTTCTAGTGTCAAACTCTGCACATACATCTTTCTGCTCAGTGAAGCTCAAACATCCAACTGTAGGAACAACAAGAAAAACACATTTCTGAGTGTAGGGGGACTTAAGTTCCCTTTAAAGGGTATTTGCAGGGCCAGAGCTATTAAACTCTGTAATACAATATTACTGTGTGAATCAGAATGAGTTATGAATGTCATTTACCTTTTACTGTTCCTCCTGTGCTATATTTTCCTACTCTTTGCCAACTGCCAAGTAATGAATCTCATTAATGGTCTGGCAGTTATGCGCCTAACCTGTCACAATCGGGCTTGCTGTCCTGTATGCAAACTGCGTCAAAAGGGAAATCCCCAGAAACTCCCTATTAAGATGAAATACATGTTTACATACACTACCTGTTAAAAAAACTGAACATGGTGTTTCATCTCAGGACTTCAACTGGAGGAGGAAGTGGGATCTTGATAGTGTGTGTTTTAATCCAAGAGGAAGAGAACAGTTCTTCTGTACAACTGTCTAGGTCCAAACGGGTGTTTCAATGCTGACACACATATGGCCATTGTATAGCTTGTTGCATAGTGAATCAACAAAATACTGTCCGCCAGAGGAATTAACAAGGTTTATGAGAAGTGTGGTGAAGTGGAAGTGGAAGGTAGAAATACTAGCTTTGAGGACACCAATTAACTTTTGACAATGATATATTGATTAACATATACTGTACAGTACAGCAGCTTCTTCCTGCAGGCTGTGAGACGGCTTAATTCATCCTTAGCATTATGTGGAATTATTTTTATTTTTATGATTTATTAATCAATTATACTGTATACTGTATAATTTATGTATGGATAATTTTTTTTAACTATTAGCATAAAAGTAACTACAACCTAAATTTCATTTTACAATTCTGCGTTGTAAAATGACAAGGAAGTGACTTTGTATCCTTGTAAATACATTATTAGACAAGCATGGAATTCCTTCATAACTTGTAAATGAGTGATTTATGTGTTTTTTGATGCAGGATAATGTGAACCTTCAGCTATTGTATTACATCCACTGTTGTTGGAAATCTAGTACATGAAATTGCCAATTCCAGGTGTCTTTTTCTCACATTTATTTTCTCAGTGATACTGCCAAATAAATGTGATACCATGAACCTGCACTGTATATGAATGTGCGTCCTGTAACGCCTATTTTTAATAACAAAGTCCATATTATTTATATAAAGTTGTGAAGATCATAACAGGATTTACTGTAATTTCATTAGTTGTTGGTCCACAAACAAAAATAAGATGTGGCTATCTGGTGCTAACTCGATTTACAAGCATGCAAACGCACACACTTGCGCACATGCACATACACACACACACACACACACACACATACACACAATCATCCCTATAAGTAAAATCCCGACACCAACTGATCCTTGTGCATCCTGTAATTCCCCATAAACTATACTCTGACTGTGGTGAAACAAACACGAGCTTCTGGGAGGGATTAGAGGGAGGAATGATGGTAGCTGTGGAATCAGTTGGAGAGGCTTGTTCCAGGTCAGAGCAGTGAGGGATCCACTGCAGGTAACGGCCTTAAAAGATCAATCACAGCACAATTATCTAAAATCTTAGTCCTGTTTTTGATTTTTCTCACCTCCAAAAAACTCTGGCAACAGGAAACTTGTGAGGTTGGAAGTCCTGAAGTGTTCAAGCAAGAGTCACTAGCTCCACTAATACTGAGAAGTTATGTCTCTAGAGGTCAGAGGTCAGAAGATTAAGGCCCCAGTATGGTTGCAGCACATTGCCACATAACTTCGACATCCCTGGTCCGATGTTATGTGCAAACCTTTGATCCATGTCATACGTCTCTCTGCCCCTTTCCTGAATCCCTATTGACTATCAGCTGTCCAATCAATAAAAATAAAAACAACATTGTGGCCCATTTAAACAAGACACATGGAAAAAAACTTTCTCTCACCTCTAATCATACCTACCACCATATTGTATGCATATCATGTCTCTCTGTGGTTCTGTGGCCAAGTGCTCACATAGTTGAATGACAAAAATAACATCTTGATTTGTTCTTGATGTCTTTTAAATATATAAAAGGCCTAATAGCTTGAATTGCAATAAATCAAAGAGCAATTGTTGAATGTGTGTGACCTTCATGGATTTGATGTTGTTGTTTTGTGTTTTACAGTTTATTTTGTATTAAAGCAAAATTTCCCATTCCCAAGATTTTGTATACTCTGCGGTGTAGAATAACAGAGCACTATTCCTGCAGTAGCTATTTCTGTGGTTGAAAAATGTTTTTTTTTTTTCTTATTTTCATGCATATTTTCCATGTTCCAGTTTTGTAATTGTTAGTCGCACACTGCATTTGCTCTATCCCTAAACCTTTCCTTCTTTTGATCTAATTTACATATAATATAAGTCAAGTAAATGGCTTTCTGATGGTTGGCTATTGGAAATGGAAAACATTTGTACTTCACGCTGAAACCGCATGAACATGATCTATTCACAGTTACAGGCTTTATACAGCCCATGAGAGGCCAAAGGTAACTAGTAAATGGATATTTTTTTATTACTGTGTACAAAATGACCTTTATGGACCCTGAGTTTTGTGATATGCAAAGTGAGTACAATTAACTATCTATTGTAGGGGGATAGAGGTCCAGCCCTACTGGGAATCCTGAGGATCAGGATTTAACCACAGCTTTTAGGTTACATCTCTTTCTCTTCTTGTCCCCTGCCTCTTTTCTTGCCCTCTACCTCTCTGCGGATGCCAACATTCCCCTGGCTCTAGCCCCTGTCGCAGACATTGGTGAGAGACGGGTGTTAAGTTTCCCAGATCGTGTGAAGGAGCTGTCATGCCAACTTTACAGCACATTAATCATACAGGCAGTGTGGCTAGAGATACTCTGTATCCTGTTCTGCTGAGTATTTATTATTAATAGAGACACAAATCTGAAGGATGAGACCACATTCGGTATATGTGAAAAATTCAGAAGCTACTAAAGAGACATGTACGTTAACGGAACAAAAGAATTTGGCCATTTTTCATTCTGGAAAATGTCTGAGAGCAGGAAACCATTAGATTAGCAGAGCGACCATGTTGTACATTTTTTTATATCATTTAATTTGAGCTCATAAAACTGACTGGTGTATAAAATTTGTTTGTATACCATGACAAAGGCACACACTGCATGTCACTGTTTGCCCATTTACTAATTTTAATTTTAAATAGACATGTTGATATGTTACTTGCCCACCAAGCTGTTGCCTTGTCTATTATATGCCTAACAACAAAAGAACACTTCACCCAGATTTTACATATAAAGAAAAGTCTTTTAATAGATAAGTCCCATTTGCAAAAACACATAGAAACATTGGAAGACACTGCATATATACACTGTGTTCGCTACCTTGCAGCTACCTCCTCCATGAGACTAAGTATGACAGTCTTTTTAACAATTATCAAAAAGAAAGCAAGAAAAAAAAGCCATTTATTTACCTCAGTTAAACAGAAAAGCCTTCAAAACTGTAGTTTTTAAATTATGCACTTTAGCCTCTTACAATAAATACGAGTCATCAAACATTTATTGAAATGAACACACAAAGAGAAAAAGACAAATTCAAAACAGTGACACCATGTACAGTTGTGCGTGTCGATTCAAAAACTTGTCTGGCTAGGCTGAACTTCAACTGAACTACTCCCAGTAGTGCAATTTAGAAACTACCACAGTAGCTTCACAGAACTGAGACTCTGACATTGACTCAATTTGGTGCTTTTAATTAATTTGTGCAAAAATACTGATTGTGAAGAGAATGTCTGATGTTTTGTGACTGGAAAGACAACATAAAAGTTTATATTCATTTCAAAGGAAATGTGTGTCTGCAGTGAGATAGGCTGATTGAAATGCTGATCTTGTCATGAACAATAATCCACACTATACAACATTAGCTTCGACACAAAATGACATAAATTAATATTATTTGTACGTTCAACAGGAGTTTCATGACCTAAAATTACGAAATCATTGTGCACATCGCAAGAATCAACATTGAGCCTTGTAATAATAGACTGCCTTCCTTTCCTTCAATTCAAACTAACACTTCTACCTTGTCCAAACAAACCATCAATTCAAAATACATAATTTAACTGGTGCAGGGCGTCTTTCTTAAGTCCAAGTTGGTCTTAGGCCTGCAATTCAATGACAATTCTAGTGTCTAATTTGAGTTGTTGTCATGTTTACATTTTCAATTTAATGCTGGTAAATGCTAATTGTGACTTACTTTTAAATCCGTTTTGAAATCCTGATACTTTTGTTGCACACCCAAAACTTCACTTTTACTTGTATCCCTTCTCTAAGGAGGTTAGAGACAAGCAGCAGGGACAGAGGGGTGCCTGCAGAACTTGTTAGGATTTAGTACCTTGCTCAAGGATGCTTCAGCAGGACGCATGGTTAAACCACAGGTTTGTGGTTCAGGGTTTCTTTCCATACTTACTGACCCTCCTTATTTAATGCCCTTAGGCCTATGTCTGTCTAACCAGGCTGTTTCTAGTTTAATAAACAAATGTAGTGAATATACTTAAAGCTTTGGCCATATTAATAGTTTTACATGTTTTGACCCGTTAACTACAAATTGCATAAACTTTATGTCACTGTCAGGTTTTAAAAAACTGTCCTTAATGGTGTGTTCAAGGATGCTCTGACAATTGGATTATAAGTTATGCTCTTGGAAAATCAAATTTAGAACACAAACACTGAGAAAACATGGATGTTGTGAAAAAGATGTCAATGAATTTGGTTGTGCAGCTGCTCAATATTAGGTATCAGTGTTTTTAAAGCAGACCCTGGTTGCAAACGTATTATCTTATGACATTTATGTAACTTTATCCAATGTTTTCTTTCCAAGTCTCTGCAAGTTGATTTAATACGATTCTAAAATGCATAGAAACCAGTAATTTCCATTCATACATCACTGGAGGCTGTAATGAAAAAGGTAGGCCATTTATAGTTAAAGCATTAAAACATGCAAAACCACCATCAAGGCAGATTGTCCTTTAAGTTGTTATCACTGACTCCTCCCTATATAAGCCCAGCAGTAGGTGTAAGTCATCTGCATACATAGCTAAAAGAAAACATATCTTTTTACAGCAAAATATTTATTCCTCCCACAAAAGCCAGGTGTACACAACACATAAAACAAAATGAAATTGTGTTTCTAGACATAATTTGTCTCATTGTCACTAAATCCAAAAAGTGCTTGGAACCAACTACAAAATGTATTCCTTAAAAACTAAATAATCTATCCATAAACTGGATTAAAAGTATTATTTATGATTGTCACAACACTAACACTAGAACCTGAGTCTTGTTTGTGACTTCTTCATCAAATAGAAGAAGCAATCTGAATGGTGACATCCTGGGAATCCTCGTAATCAAAGACTGTCCTTGTAATGCTGGTGCATGTGGCGACTTAAGTACATTAAAGCACACTGATTGTGTGTGTGTGTGTGTGTGTGTGTCTGTGTGTGTGTGTGTGTAGGGTGCGGGGGTCATTATCTGCTAATGTTTGAACTGTTTTTTACGGCATATAAATGTAGGGACTGGACTTGTGGTGCCCTGTGCTCATCACACATGGCATAGCGTTCCTTGGACCAACCATCATGGACTGACTAATGTCGTGAGCGTTCTCGGACCACGGTGGGGAGTCCATGGGCTCCCGCTTGATTGAATGGATCAGGCTGTGACCTTTGAACTCATAAGCGCCATGCTTGTTGTATTCCTGGTGCATGTAGGCCTTGTGAGGGTCTTGTGGATAGACGTGCGAGTCCATGAGGTTGATAGATTGGTTGCTGCATAGAGAGTCTGAGTGGGAGAGTCTCTGAGGACTAAACTGGCTGTTGTCATTGTTATTGCCCAAGTCTTTGTCACATTTTAACAGACGTCCGGTTGCGTTGCCGCTGTTGTTGACTGCATAGTTCTGGTAGTTGCCGCTGTTGTACGGTGGGCTGATTCCTGCTTTCCCTCGCTGACAGGGCGAGTACTGTGGATCATAGTAATCTGCCTCTGATTTGAGATGGAGGGACGAGGTCTGGTCGTACACCCCATTACCGTAGCGACGGTCGATGGCCTCTGGGTCACGGCAAGCCCAGGGTCGCCCATAGGCATCACAGCCGTTCTCAGAGTCCGAGTCGTGCTCTACCTTGATAGGCGGCATCTCGGGCATCAGATGGCCGTCGTAGCATTCTCTGTAGCCGTTTTCGTTCTTCACCAGATCCACACAGTAGGCATCTGGATCTGTGGGAATCTGGACGTTCCCATAGAGCTTAGAGACAAACACCTCGCCACCTCTGCCGCTGTGGCAGCTGGGGGAAAGCCGGTATGGTTTTCCATATTGGCCGACCTTGTTCAAGCGGTTAGAGGAGATGTAGCCGACACCCTGGCCCGCTCTGATGGGACCTGAGTTTGGCCGCAGAGGCCAGCCGCTGCCCAGGCCAGGGCTGACACCTTTATGGGGAGCCATGGAGGACTTGCAGTAGTTGAGGGGTTCCTCCTGGTTGTAGTAACCATCAGGGTGGTACTTGAGGTTGTCTTTGGAGAGCGGGGTCCAGGGAGTGTGGTGACCTCGCTGGGTAGCGCCAGGAGTGGGACAGGAGAGGAGGAGAGGGTCTGCAATGTCACCCATTCCTCCACTGAAGGAGTGCCTCCGGAGGTGCTCCCCTCGCTCACTGTGATGAAAAGTGGGGTGGGGAGGAAATAGGGATTAGAAAAAAGGAAAATTGGATTATTAGTCATGAAAACAGGAAGACAAATCAATCAGTGTAGATCATACAAAGTTTGTGTAGTCCTTGAGGACATTCAAGAAGAGGTGGTCTCTTAAAATAACAATTGTCCACTCAGATATCCATATGGGAATGTCTACGAATGTTTTTTCTACTGATTGATGAATGACTCAAAGCACAAATATTTAGGTTTGGTTCACTTTAGTTCATAAGAGAGAATCATTCCAAAAGTGACTCATCTTTTCCAGGATTCATCTAATCTGAAAATTGAGAACAGAGTCAACATCCAGGACCCAAAGATCAATGACGGCCAGCACTCACAGTTTGTAGGCCGTACAATGCTGTATATGTTCATTTCCTCTTAAAACACTGTAGTGTGTGTTTCAGACTTTGGGTTTTTTTGAGTGTGTGACAATGTTTTTAATAGTATTTTCTGATTTCAGGATTGGGGATGATTAAATCTGTTACACTGTGAAAATCATAATCAATTTATTTATTTATTCACAGATGTATTTTCATCACTATATATTGCATATACAGTATACCCCTTATTGTGAAAAAGGGCAAAACCATTGACAAATTGTTATTTAAAATGAGCTAAACTGGTTCATACACTATAATGATAAGATAGCAGACTTAACAAACTGATCAGGAGGGCTGGTGATGTCGTGGGGGAGGAGCCAGATGCATGTGTGTGTGTGTGTAAGAAGATAATAAGATAAATAATAATAATAATAATAAGATGAAGAGCTGGACAGCACCA